AGCGTAAAGCTTGAGGGGTAACACTGAGCAGTGCAAGGGATTAGTAGTTCATTGAAAATAAGGCTCTAAGATGTGGAAGCTACTCATTCTTTTTCCTCTCTGGGACACACATTTGACTGCAGATTGCATCTATAATAATTAACTTGCAACCATTCCCTAGAAAACTACCAAGAGGGCAAACTTTGATCTGAATTAAGAAGCTGGGCATAATCACCTGGAAAAGCATTTGTTTTCCATAACAATCACCTGGCCTACACAACTGTCAAGGCCATTTCAGTCCTGACACCAGAAGCAAGCATTTCTTAACTTCTTAAGCATAAATCAGAAGATAATATTCCCTTCATAATCTGCAATTAACACTATTTCCACAACAGTCTATAGTTGTCTGTTATTATTAGATTTATACCCTGCTTTTCTGCTGTATAATTCAAAGTGGCATACATAATATTCCCAACCTACTATTATCAACAACACCAACCCTATGGGGTAGGGTGGGGCTAGCCAACCTAGAATGACTGACCAAAGTCACCCATCCAGCTTTCATGCCTAAGGGAGGATTAGAACTCATAATCTCCTGGTTTCTAGTCCAGCTATTTCACCAAGCTAGCTCTCTGTTAGATGCTTTCTATGGTATTACCAAATAAAACCTGAAGAGACTTTTACATATGTAAATGGAACAATTCTTGACTTAAAAAAAATTATAACTATCTTTTGTATATTGGAAAGGATAAGTAAATAAAGTTGGAGTTCCAAGTACAGGTTTCAGGTCCTCTCTTTATTAAGCTACAATCACAAGTTACCTCATGCAATTTGTAAAGTACACTTTCACATACAAAACTAATAAGCACTTTTTAACACTGACCTCTAAATAATCTTGCCAAACCAGAACAACCAGATTATTCAGTATTGTATTTTACACCGGCTTCTTCAGTGAAAATTCCTTATTTTGTTACTCAATGTAAACAGTCCAAAACTTCTAGGAATCTCAGTTAAGACATTTTATCACCATTTTTCTTTACTCCGCCTCATTCATTTTATTCTCCTTAGAAAAGTTTAATTTAAATCTATGTTTTTCCTAATTAAAGTTCTGACTGTGGAGCTTTCAAGCTATTCTTTGTAAAATATTCTTCACATACTATTATTGGTCTTCACTGTAGATCAGGTTTAATATCAGTAAGCAAACACTATTTGCTGATAATAGAACAAAGATCAAGACTGCATATTATTATTCTTAAGTACAGGATTTAAAGGTAACATGACCAGCAACTGTACAAGATAAAATCAGAATAAGAGAGTGTTGGAAGGGACCTTGGAGGTCTTCCAGTCCAACCCTCTGCTCAAGCAGGAAACCCTGTACCAGTTTAAACAAATGGTTATCCAATCTCTTCTTAAACATCTCCAGTGCTGGAGATATCAGAAAGGCTCTTTTTAACTTTGATGCCTAATGGCAACCAAGATTTGAGAGCTGAATGTAAGAGCCACAAATATTAAGGTTTTTAAAATAATGCACATTAAGGTCCGAAAAATAAAGTAAATGTAGCCTGTCATTGTTTGAACAGTTGAAAAACAAGCTACTAACAGTACAAACAACTATTATGGATGTGCATAAAAATTAGAACATAACAAAAAAATTAGTTGGCACTGAAATGACTAATTAAATTGATGCAGAATAAACAATTGCTCTAAATTGCAATTGCAAGAATTGCATCCTTGTTTTGGTTCTTAGATTTACATTGCTACATTTCTCCAAAGAACTCACTCCAAGGTGAACATGTTTAAAGTCTTGCAATGCTTTTTGAAAAATGTTATGTAAGGCTAGAGCTCTGTTAATTTCAGTGGGGTTCTGTCATGTGCAGAAGTAATCACCACAGATGGCATACCACAATATTAACTAATTAAAAAAATCAAAGTCAACAACCATATACAATCATTTGTGAATTAGATTTACACCAAGTTTCTATGATCTACCACATTGTAGACATTTCTAATAAATGTAAAAGTTCCTAGAAACACTTCTGATGGAAATAAAAATTTTCATGTATGCATCATTTTAATGGGTACTTTGCTTTCTTTAACCTTTTCCTATTTTATCCAGCTTTGGACTGTTTTCTTTTAAAATAAAACAAACATCTTCTTACCTCGTAAAAGGTAAGAAAAGATTCTTACCTCCCAATCTATCAGAGAATATAATGGGAAAATAACACGGCAAACATTTCAATGAAACAATGAGTGAACATTTTTTCTGGTTCAGCTAGTTTAGGAAAAATGGTTTATCTTTCTCAAAATCCAACCAAAAAAAGCCATCAAAACTATAGGATATATTGCTGCTCAGTGGAGTTATATCCAGTGGTGGGATTCAAATAATTTAACAACCGGTTCTCTGCCCTAATAATTTCTTCCAACAACCAGTTCACCAAACTGCTCAGAAAGTTAATAACTGGTTCTCCCGAAGTGGTGCAAACTGGCTGAATCCCACCACCGGTTATATCTAAATATACTGATTCAAGGGTCACATTGAATAAAACAGGGTCTGACTTCCAAGTAAGTTAAGAATTGAATCAAGTTGTGAATGTCATTGTTTTAGCAGCATGCACACAGCCTTTTTAGAATCTATTTACAAAACTCAACATTCTGTATTTCTAATTATTATTTTTGAGTATTATATTAAACTGCTCTAAACATTAAAGAATTTGCTACATCTACACAAATTACTCCAAAATACATGTTAGTGAGACTGATCTTTGAGAAATATATTGAATTTCATAGAATTGAACAAGTAGGAGAATTTTTTTTATTCAAACCCAGTAATTTTCAGATAGCATCCTGCTATCTAGTCAAGCTCTCCCTCTTTCCTTAATAAAGATGCCACCAATGGCAGAGAAAATCATGCTGATTATGAAAACAAGGGTAGCCTTAACAACACAAGTCCCGTCTACTTACAATGCTTCTTGTCAATGATTAGCCTCATTTTGAGTTACTAAAAGGAACAGTTGGCTTGAAGCAGGCAATCCACACAAGTCAGTGTGACTTTTTTTACATCCCCAAAACTGGCAAAGCGTTTTATCAAGGGCACATTTATACAACCCATCCACACTGAGAAAATCTCTGTTTTAGCGCTCTGTACAGAACAAGAGGGAGACACGAGACCAGCCCACATTTTCCCAGCCTCCTCATTGGTCAAGCCCGGGACCGGCCTACGTGGGATCAGTGGGTGTGCATCCGGACAACGCGCCCCTATTGGCTGAGCCCGAGACGGTATTTAATGAACTGATGTTTGGGCGGCGGAACAAGAAGCAGCCCGTCGCAAGTCAGAAACGCCGGAGCCGCTCCTGGGGAGTTGAAACGGGAAAGCGCGATCAGATCCTGAAGCCAGAAACGGCATCACCGGCAAATATTATATATATATAATAAATATGTATATGATAGATAGATGATAGATAGATAGATAGATAGATAGATAGATAGATAGATAGATAGATGTATATATGTATGAGATAGATATAGCAACGGCTCGAATTTTTTTTTGGGGGGGGGGAGGGGGGTGTTCTTCGTTATTGCATCGAAATAACATTCGCGTTTGCAGCGAGGGACGCAATGAACTCCCGCTGCGCCAAGCCCTCGTCTTGCCTCTTTCATCACGTGAATGACGCTTTTGGAAACATTCCGATGGCACACAGACACGTGAGCCAGGGCAAACCTGCCCGCCGGTCTCATTCACAGATTTAAGTTTCTCTCCACCCACCCACCCCCCTCCTTTTAACGAAACAGCCGCGCCACGCCAACCGAGACCGGTCGTGGTGGTGGTGGTGGAAGGAAACCGCCTTGCAGCGATGCGCCCGGTGCAAACTCTTCCCTTGCAAGGGGCCCTTTTTTTTTGTTTGCACGCGGGTTCCTTCCCGATGCGTTGCGATCCCATTGCAACGCACCCCTCCGAATCGGACCCTCCACCCACAGCCTTGACTTACGCGGCCTGTTCTTTCTGCCCGAATCCATCCTCCGGCGCGCCCTGCTTTTTTTCGTCGGCGAGTCGTGGCTGGAGAGCGGCAGCTCGGGACGAAAATGCAACGGGTGGGAAGCCTCGCCATTGCCGGCCAGAGGGTGGAAGCCGTTGTGCAGCGGCAGCCCGTTGTGCAGCGAGCGGGTGGGAGAAGCTGCTGCCGCTGCCGCCGAAGAGACGCCGGCTTGGCCTCGTAGTCTGTCCCCCATGGCGCCGGCAACAGCTGCAGCCGCCACCCCGAGGCCGCCGCTCGTCCTTTGTCTCGCCTTTCTCCCCGCCGCGAAGCAGGCGAAGGGCAGAGTCCCGCGGGGCGCCCCCCGTGCTGGCTCTCCCGCAGCGGCCGGGACGCTGCCTCCGCCGCCTTCCCGAGGCAGCGCCAAGCGCAGGCGTCCTGCCCACCGCAGGAGGAGGAAGGGACGCCGGGCGAAGGATTGCTGGGAAGGGGGGCGGTAGCAGAGCCGCAGAGCGCCTTGGCTCCTTCCCGAATTTGGGGCGTGAACCACCGGCTCCCTCACACACACACACACCCCGCACGCGGGAGCTTTTGCCCGCCTTCCCGCCTGAGGAGATTTGTGAGGGCCTCGTTCTCGGGAGGAAAGAAGAAGGAGCCGGGCTCTCGCAAACCGACCGACCCACCCAGGAGCTTCGGTGAAACCAGCTTGGTTAAAGCTCCGTGGCCCAAAGGAGCCCCATTTTCCAGAGGCAAATGGACTTTCTTGGGGTTTTTTTTTCCTTTGGTTGGAAGACGTTTCGCTTCTCATCCAAGAAGCTTCTTCAGTCTGACAGGATAGTGGGGAATGGAAGGATTTATATTCCTTGCAGACAGCTGATAATATGCATCCTTTTAGAGCAGTGTTTCTCAACCTTGGTAGCTTGAAGATGGGTGGACTTCAACTCCCAGAATCCCCCAGCCAGCGCTGCTGGCTGGGGGATTCTGGGAGTTGAAGTCCACCCATCTTCTTGCAGACAGCTGGTCATTTGCATCCTTTTAGAGGGTCGTTGAAGCACTTGGAGGTTTATCTGTGTCCTCAGGGTCACCTGAGTAGTGCTCCTGGTTCCTGTAGTCTGCAATTTTTCCTTTGGAAATCCATTCCTACTCCCACTCCATCCCAAGGGTGTTCATCCCAAATTGCGTCGCTAAACGTCTGTGGGGATTCTCAGTCATCCAGGTCATGGTTGTCCCAAAGATGCTTTTTTTCGGGAGGCAACTGGACTTTTTTGTTTTCCTTTGGAAGACGTTTCACTTCTCATCCAAGAAGCTTCTTCAGCTCTGACAGTGAAGGATAGTGGGGAATGAAGGGGAATCCTTGTCAGAGCTGAGATGCTTCTTGGATGAGAAGCGAAATGTCTTCCAAAGGGGGGGGGGGGAACCAAGGAAGTGCAGTTGCTTCCTGAAAAATGCAAGGAATATAAATCCTTCCCTTCCCCACCATCCAGTCAGAGCTGAAGAAGCTTCTTGGATGAGAAGCGAAATGTCTTCAAAAGCAAAAACAAGAAAGTCTTGAAAAAGCACCTTCTTTGGGACAACCATGACCTGGATGACTGAGAATCTCTATATACTCCGTGTCTTTTGCTTATCCAGGATAAGAAAACCACACATGTGCCAATGCGCATCCTGCTGCTGTTCCCGGGCGGAACTTAGTAAAGGAGAAGGCAACTGTAAGCCAAAGGAAAGGCAGGAGCAAAGAAAAGGAAATGTAACAAACAAAGAAAACAAAAAAAAATATTTACTGTAAATCTCCATCCTGGCATCCAGGTTTCTATCCTGGCAAAGCCATCTTCCTTTCCCCTGATTTACAGCTAGATTACCTTTTGTTCCTTCAATTTCTCCCCTCTCTTTCCAAAGGTTAGCCCAAAAGAGGCAACTGGACTTTCTTGTTTTTCCTTTGAAGATCTTTTGCTTCAAATAAAAACCCTTCCCCACCATCCAGTCAGAACTGAAGAAGCTTCTTGGATGAGAATCGAAATGTCTTCAAAGAAAAAACAAGAAAGGCCAATTGCCTCCTGAAAAAGCACCCTTGGGACAATCATGGATGACTGAGAATCTCTATACATTTTTAGCTATCCAATATGGGATGAACACACTTCAAGGATGCACAGATTTCCAGGGGGGAAAAATTGCAGACTCCAGGAACCAGGAGCACTACTCAGGTGACCCAAGTGTTTCAAGGACTCTGTAAAAGGATGCAAATGAATATAAATCCTTGAATTATATCCTTGCTGTCTGCAAGGAATATAAAATCCTTCCATTCCCACAATCCAGTCAAAGCTGAATAAGTTTCTTGGATGAGAAGCGAAACGTCTTCAAAGAAAAAACAAGGAAGTTTCCTGAAAAAGCACATTTGGGACAACCATGACTTGGATGACTGAGAATCTCTATAGACTTTTTCCAAAGTTTACCAACTCCAAACAACCACCACTTTCTCAGTTTTCCACCTTTTTTTTCCACCCCTTCCCTCTTCCTTCCTATAGTTTGCAAATGGTTCTCATTCACTCTCTCTAAAACGAAACTCGTTGGCAAACTGTACTGGTTTCTGTGTTTGGCATCCAGATACTCTTGATATTATCTCCTCTTATACGCCCTTCTTAAATTCTCACTGATGTAACTACTGTTCCATTTCTCTTGGCGTACCCAGCTCTCACTCCCATATAACAAAATAGACAGAAATTCTCTTGTATGCGGTCATTTTTGCTTCTCTTGGCAAACATTCATTTCTCCCAACAAACTACAAATTACCTGATAACTATTCTATCAGCATTTATACTTCTGCAAATTTCTTAATCTATTTTCCCATGGTGAGTAATTCTTATTCTTATTTATTTATTTATTTATTTATTTTGTCAAGTACATATTAGATAATATATATAGGTATAAGCATTAAAGGGAACATTAGGATAGGGACGGTAGGCACGCTGGTGCTCTTATGCATGCCCCTTACAGAAATTCCTAAGAATTTCTCTTAGGAATGGGGTGAGGTCAACAGTAGACAGTCTTAGGTTAAAGTTTTGGGGGTTTGGGGATGAGACCACAGAGTCTGGTAGAGCATTCCAGGCATTAACAACTCTGTTATTGAAGTCATATTTTCTGCATTTGAGTTTGGAGCGGTTCACTTTAAGTTTGTATCTATTGTGTGCTCATGTATTGTTGTGGTTGAAGTTGAAGTAGTCATTGACAGGTAGGACATTGTAGCAGATGATTTTTTGAGCTATGCTTCGGTCATACCGAAGGCGGCGTGGTTCTAAATTTTCTAAACCCAGAATTTCAAGTCTGGTGGCATAAGGTATTTTGTTGCGAGCAGAGGAGTGGAGGACTCTTCTTGTGAAATATTTCTGGACGTGCTCAATTGTATTAATGTCCAATATGAGTTCAGGTTCCACTATTCTACTAAGGTACAAAAATCCATCTAATCTACTCTAGGTAATTGCTATTTACATCCATCTGTAACCATTTTTTCCATTTTCTCTGTCTTGGTTTTTGCTGCATTAGGTCACCTGGGCCACCTTTTCTTAAACTCCATGGCATAGGACCGGGTTATATACGAGACCGCCTTCTGCCATCAACAACCTCCCACCGGCCAATACGCTCCCACAGAGAGGGGCTCCTCAGGGTGCCGTTGGCCAAACAATGTCGACTGGCGACACCCAGGGGGAAAGCCTTCTCTGTGGGGGCACCAGCCCTCTGGAATGAGCTGCCCCTAGAGCTCAGTCTTAGCCCCGACCTGCATACTTTTCGCCGCACCCTTAAGACCTTCCTGTTCCAGCAAGCCAGACTGGCCTAATATGAATCTTATTATGGGTGTATGTGTGTTTTAAATCTGCGGGCCAATTTTATATATTGATTTTAATTTGGTTTTAAATTTTATAAATCTATGTGTTTTAATATGGCTGTACACCGCCCTGAGTCCTTCGGGAGAAGGGCGGTATAGAAATCTAATAAACTTGAAACTTGAAACTGAGATGTGGTAGAATATATCCATCTGGAACGCTTGCAATTGGTGATTTTCCACTATAAAGCATAGACCCACTGAATCTTGTTTATCTCTTTACTGTGGTCCCATCCTTCCCATTTTCCCACAGTGCACTCAAGACACAGGTGATACATCAGGCTAAGCAATAATGCATACTGTACACTGCACCTCTTGCTGTTGGGAAGCTGGCAATAATATTGTGGGGTTGGGGTTTTTTTGGGTTTTTTTTGTAGCCAAGCCTATGTGGGACACATCATTAGTATGATTCTTCTTGTACTTGACACATTTCTGGCTAGTGCATTCACTACTGTACTGGTTAAAAAAATGAGTGATTTTAATGTTTTTTTTCTAGTAAGAAAAGTGATGACACTCATTAATTTCACTTCATTGAAAAAATATTAAATGAGGAACAGGTCCATAATTTCATTGTTCCATTGGTGAATTTGTTAAAAAAGAACATCTAGTGACTTAAAGGGGAAGAGGCTGTACCAACACAGCACAGTGATGGGATTTGTGCTGAATAAGATACAATTTATGCTCAGCCATATCAGAAAACATTACTTTTGATGCGCAGCGATCAATCAATCAACTGATTTTGTTTACAGCCCAAAGAGCCAAAAAGCAAATTACAAATGCAATCCAAAGTTGGCCTTAGATAAAACAATTTAGCAAATGACATATTTAATACATATTGCATAATTTAAAATCCCAAGTCATTGATTGGTTACTAAAAACTTTTTTAAAGCCTTAGTTAAAAACCTGGCTATTCCCTTTGTAACTTTAGGATTTTCATCTGCAAGTAGTTTTTTACACAGAAGAATGTCATCTTAGGTTTTATTTCGAAATAAGTATAAATATCATATGAAGAATTGTGACTGTACTCATCATAGTGTAGGAAGAAAAATCCAGTCTAGTTCCAAGCCAGGAGGAAAAAAAAATCAATGGAGGCTGGCCACAAGGAAAGAAGGTCTCTGTTTATTTAGTTTTTATAAACTTCAGTGACAGCAGCATGTTTCTGGGGTGGCTGGCCAAATGGCTGAGTGAGTGAGTGGATGGATCTTTATAGGGTTCTGGGATTTTGTGATTGAGATGCTCCAGGGGGTTGTGCAATGTAGTGAGCCTTGTGTCTTTTACTATTTCAATGGTGGAGAGTTAATCCTATTATGTCCTAAAGGTCCTGTCCTTTGCTTAGAATTTGGGTGGGGGAATGTACATTCTTAACCCATCAGCTGCAGTTATGGCTGAAGATGTTTTGTTTATGAATAGATTGGCCCAGTCTTTCTGAATGGATACAAAATCTGAAGTCCTAAACTCTTCAAGTTTCTTAGTTTCAAAGTCTTTTCCTATGCAGGAAGACTGGGGCTGCTTTCTGCCTTTGTTAAGATTTTTCTCCATTTCTCCTTTGAGGAAATATTCTATTCTCCTGCCTCTTTTTATTATTTAGAATAAAGAATATTTTAATCTGGGGACAGGGGGCTTCCTACAATGGCAAAATATTACTTTTACTACAGTAGAAAGTATGGGATTTGAAATCTTGGACTGATGGTATATAAAGAATATTTTAATCTGGGGACAGGGGGCTTCCTACAATGGCAAAATATTACTTTTACTACAGTAGAAAGTATGGGATTTGAAATCTTGGACTGATGGTATATAAAGAATATTTTAATCTGGGGACAGGGGGCTTCCTACAATGGCAAAATATTACTTTTACTACAGTAGAAAGTATGGGATTTGAAATCTTGGACTGATGGTATATAAAGAATATTTTAATCTGGGGACAGGGGCTTCCTACAATGGCAAAATATTACTTTTACTACAGTAGAAAGTATGGGATTTGAAATCTTGGACTGATGGTATATATATATATACCATCAGTCCAAGATTTCAAATCCCATACTTTCTACTGTAGTAGAAAGTATATTATATACTCTCTGCTTATGAACTAACTATTAATATAATGGAAAGACTGACCAGTATTATTCTATGGGGGCAAATAAGTGTTTGAACACATTTTCGCTCTTTTTTGCCTCTATTATTGGAGCTCTTGTGTTGCTTCATTCTAAATTTGTAATTAGATAAGAAGATGCTGCATAGAAAACTAATCCACTAGGCAACCATGCATCAGTCCCGAGAGTCACAGATTTCATGCACCCATGTCATCCTTGCAGAACTCTTGCAGAAGAACCAGATCTTGATGATCTTCTGACATTCCAAATGGATGGTATTGAGGGAAAACCTTGCAATGGCCAGCATGAGTTCTTCCTTCTCTTTGTTTTCTGCCCTGGGACTCTAAGGCAGCCTGAAGAGCAGGACACCCACCATTTTCAAGGTTTTTTAAAAAGGGGGGTGGGTTGGAACCTGAGAGCACTAGAATGGATGTGTGGAGGAAGATTTGTGTTGTGTGGAGATCAGAAAGGAAGCTTTTGCAGCCAAGGGAATGGATTAACCATCAGCTGAACAGACAACTGACTTCTCCAAACCAGCAGTGGACAAGCTGAAAGGAGAAGCAGAGCGCAGCAGCTCTCACCACTCCAATATCAATACTGAGAAACTCTAAGCCAGCCAACAATTAGAGATGCACCTTTCCTTTCTCTTGCCAGTGCAGACTGAGAAATTGAAATGCCAATGTTTTGTCAGCAGTTTAGAACAGCAGCTGACAGCAATAGAAGTCAATTTGAAAGTGGATGCATGGATGGCTGAAGACTTTGGTGCAACCTCAAACAAGAAAGAAGAATAGATTGTTTAGGAAATGTCCATGGAGATTCTCAGTCATCCAGGATCACGGCTGTTCCAAAGGTGCTTTTTCCAAAAGGCAACTGGACTTGGTTGGGTTCATCCAAGAAGCTTCTTCAGTACTAACTGGTGGGGAATGAAGGATTTGTACTGTATTCTTTGCAGGCATCTGGTTGCTAGCCATCTGAAGGTCAGTCATTGGAGTCTTTGAGGCTACTTGGGGGTTTATCTGTATCCACAGAATCACCTGAATCAGAATGCAAAAGGGGGGGGAATCTTCTTGGGACAGCTAAAAGGACTGTGCTGTAAACAGGAGATAGGTGTTGTGTTGTCTTATCCTTCCCCCTCTGAGGAGAGAGCTCTGTTCAATTTTAACATAGAGGAGCTCTTTCAAACCAGTGGTCCTCTCTGTCCAGAATGTGAACTTTGCTGTCTTCAAAAGAGTGACCTTGCCTTTAAGATGCAGATGGATTGCTGAATCCTGTCCTGATGAGCTTGTTGTCACAAATGCATGGCATAACACAGTAGCCTCAACAACTCTCAAGAGTGCTAACGACTGACACCTGCCCCCTCCCCAAAGAACTAAGGACCAAATGATTGCTAAGAATATATCTCTGTTGGAAGAAAAATCCAGTCCGGTTCCAATCCAGGAGAAAGACACTGGAAATAAAATGGAAGTAGGCTGCCAGAAAGAAAGTATTTATTTGGTAGCCAGAAAGTAGTGACAGCAGCATGTTTCTGGGGTGGCTGACAAAATGGGGTTGAAAGTAGGTGGGTTTTATATACATTCTTTGGGGCTTTGTGATTGAGATGCCTGTTCATGTGTAAGAATGTGTCCTTTAGTATTTTAATGGCTGTTGCCAGATTCCTATGGGGTCATGTAGAGGGTCATGGCTGGCTCTACAGGCAAAAGGGGAAATGCAAATCCTCAGTGTTTGTCTGAGCTAATTTTGTCAGCTTTGGCTTGCCTAATTGTGTTGCTTATTTGGAGTCTCTTTGCTTATTAACAGATTGGCCCAGTCTTCCTGAATGGATACAAAATCTCTATTCCTAAAGAGGAGCCTCTTCAAGCTTCTGCTTGAGGCTGTTTTTCTATGGCAGGAAAACTGGGACTGCTTTCTGCCTTTGTTAAGTTTTTTCTCTACTTGTCCTTTAGAAGAAATATTCTATCCTGCCTTTTTTTAAATATTAAGAATAAAGAATATTTTAATCTGGGGAGGGGGTGGCTTCCTACAACTCCTTCTGTTCACCAGCAGTCAGTAAGAACTGAAAAAGGGTTTTGGATGAGAAGTGAAATGTTTTTTGAAAGAAAAAAACAAGGAAGTCATGTTATCTTTTAGAAAAAGGACCTTCGGGAAACTGTTTAGGAATAAGCAATACACATAGATATAGAAGTTAGTGTAGACATAGGATAAGATAGGATAAGCTTAGTAATAACTGAAGTAGGAAAAGGCTATTTTATTTTATTTTTCATAAATGTCTCCCTGGGGAAACAGGGAAGATAAAAATAGTCAGTTTGTTGCTAATCTTTAACATTTCCCAAAACAGTTTCCTCATTGACCAAACTAAGTAACAATTTTAATTGGCAGTTTTATGGTGTTTGTGTGTCTATGTTTTTCTTGACTGTACACCGCCTTGAGTCCTACGGGAGAAAGGCGGTATAGAAATATAATAAATAAATAAATAAATAAATAAATAAATAAATAAATTGATGGGCCATTTATTGTTTTTTCCCCTTTCTGTCAATAAAGGAAGAATAATTCTGTGGTGTGATGTTGCTAAGTTATTAAAAATGCTTTAACTTATCCAGTGACTCCTTCTATATAAGCCTTTTCAGCATTTTTCTGATTGATAACCCTGCTTTAGACAAACACTTTATTTTCTCAAGACTATTATATTTTCATATTTTTTAATCTAATAGTATATTTCATATGAATAGGGACAATTAATATCCTTGTGATCATTTTAGGTATTTTAGTTGCTTGTGATCATTAAGATTGGGTTCCTCTCCTCACTGTAAATTTTATTTTATTGCTTCTTTTGATTGTATTAATTCCTATGTTAATTTGACTTCTTTGGGAATGAATCAGTGGTGGGTTGCCCCCAGTTCAGACCGGTTCTATAGAACCGGTAGTAAAACTGGCGGGAGGCTCCGCCCACTGACCCTGACGTCATCAGAAGCAATCTGTGCAGAAGCAAGGTGCACGAGTGAAGCAAGCACGTGCGTGCGATCCCATTGTGAACAGGTAGTA